AAAAAAAAAAAAAAAAAAAGGAATCAGAAACTAAAAGTATTTTTTTTTTTACTGAAATTTCGACGGTTTGGTATCCTTTCATATGCTATCACTAGATAAAGCGTTTAAAATGTTTGGTTATTATTGACATATTAAATAGTCATATCAATTATAGAATGTTAGACAAATAATTAAAAACTAAGATTAACTTAAATAGCTCAATGCATTATAATTTTAATACAATGCATTATAATTTTAATACACAATACCAAACAGTAGATAAGAAATAATATATGCACAACTAATGCTTGCATTACCAACACATGCATTACTAATCCATGCATTGCTAATACACCTTATTCCGCATTATTCTTATACATCCTACCAAACCACCCCTAAGAGTCCACCAAACAACTCTTAATAAGCAATTAAAACCCGGCCATAACCACAGGAAAAAAAACGACAAATGGAGAATGAGAATGGTGAAGAAGATGAGAGGAGTAATACTTGTGTGTGGATGCTACTACTACTAGAGGGTTGTATGACGGTATTATGTTTTGAACATTCTCTTCTAGTGTAACTGCATTATGCTTAACGGACCGTTATGTTAGTATTATTTTATCCTCCTCCATATCTTTATAAACTATTAGACTTTTTCTTGGCAAGGAACCCTCTTGCTCTGGTGTAGGGGGCGTAAAACTTCATTAACAACGTCCAAATAGAGCCCTATCGACGTTTGCCGCCTTTCCTTAGTCTCTACATCTGTCCGATCCGCCGCCGATTCCGATTCCTGCCGTCCGATTATCGGTCCATCATTTCCCGATCACTCACTCCGATCCCCGATTTCCATTCAAACAAGGATCTATATGTTTATCTTTGCCATCATCCCGTCTTAATTGATGAAGGTCGCAAGGTAAATATGGAAACAAAGAAAAAACGATTAGTTTTTGTCAGTACATTTGTATTTCCGTGGGATCAAAGTAGTTGTAACTTTTTTTTTTTTTGAGCAAACAAGTAGTTGTAACTTGCTGCTGGTTGTTTATGTCTTGTTTTTTTTTCTTTTCGAAAGTAAATCTGAATATCAACATTTCTATCCTCTTATGGAAAATATTACCCTTGGCTTTATCCATTCATGGAGAAAGGTAAGAAGTTACTGGCAATCTGTGTTTACACCACTAAAAGATGCATAACATGTGTTTGCATATAGAATTCTTTTACATAACCATGATTAATTAATACTTATTTCCTCAATAAATTATTTAACCATGATAAGTGTTTTTTGTTTTGGGTAATAACCATGATAAGTTAATCGGCTTGACATAAACACCGAATGCGAGTAAATTTTTAGCGAGTTGAACTGGCAATTATTGAATATTTAATTTGCAATTTGATGTCCTTTGGTAAGGTGAATCCAATTAGGATGATTATTTTTTGTACAAAGGTGACAGCCAGCATGTGATATTATTTATTTATGTTCTGGCTTTCATATTGTTTCTAAACGATGATCATTTTTCTGTTTTTTGGGAATATTTAGTTTCAGTTGGATTAAAATCTGCTTGATTGAGCTCTTAATTAGTAATGCTCACATCATGCTTCAGCTCTGCTATAATTGTTGTGTTATTGAGTTCTTAATTCTATAATCGTTGATACATTAAGAAAATTATTGTCATTATACTTTTGGGAAGAGTCAGTTAATGTGACAATTTAGTGTTATTTACCATTTTACAAAAATGTGTGTTAACCTTTTTGCTTCATGCAACCATTTTGATGTAAACAATCCCTTTAGCTTTTGGATTTTGTAATCTCCTTGAGAAGTTAAGTGCTAGAATTTTCTTCAGGAGGCTTACCTCTTTTCTTTTGTATTCAGCTTTTGCTTCCGGCCATCCCCTGGATGCCTTTATTAATGAAATTTACCTTACTTGACCATTCCGCGAAAATATCTACTCTGCATAGCTGGGTAATTAAAATAGAGCAACTGAGCTTGTCTTCAATCAGTCGCTCTTGTCTGCAATCCCAATCTCTTGAGGCCTTTATATACAAACATCTCTTGTCATCTTGTTAAACCTGTATAGATACATGTTTTCTGTACGCTCATTCTCTTTCATCGGTTGTGTGTTTCGACTTACAAGATATGCTTTTGTTCCACAGAGTTTCTCACTGGAAAAACGGACTGGAAAGAAATGCTACTTTCTAAGTACAAGGGATCTTAACATTGTATGGAGTGATGCACCAGAATATTGGAATTCGACTTCACTACCAGAGTCCAGGTTTGCCGTCTTTTAGAGGATACAGACTATCCTTCTCTTGAGAATAAATATACACATTAGTTTATTTAAATTCTATGCATAAACGAACACCATGTCATTTTTTCTTATTGTAGCGGGTAATTTGTTTTATTTCAAGATTATAAATCATACATTTAAGGAGGCTTACCTATAAATATGGTAAGATGATTTGATTGTATAAAAGAATTTCCTACACTGACAAATGTATATAACTTAAACTCTTAGATATAATGATAATAGTTTTCCCCATATTGCCAAAATAGGTTTCCAGAGGTGGCTCAGCTCAAAATTGTTTGGTGGCTTGAAATTTGGGGCACAATAAAGGCTGGGATTCTATCACCACTGACATCCTACACAGCTTATTTTGTTTACAAGATCAAAGATGGATATGGGTTTTATCATCGACCCACGGAGGTTTCGGTTGGAATTTCTGGTGTTGAATCCGGAAACGTCCGGTTTGCTCTTTTGCATCCAGATGATGATGATGATTACGAAAATTATGCGTCTGCTCTGGCCTCTGATACGGAGCACGAGGAGCCCGAGCCAGTTGACGATTATGAGGATGATGATTATGAGCCAAATGAGGTGTCACCTCCTACCCCAACTTCTAATGTGGAATACGAGGTGCGCTGGCTATACAATTGGCGTGATGATCCTGGCATCGTGCAAGCCGATAAACTACTTCCTAAACTGAGAGATGATGGCTGGTTTGAGATAGAATTGGGTGAGTTCTTCATTGAAAATGAAGATGATTGCATAGAAATGAGAGTGCAAGAGGTGAAGGTTGGACTTCCAAAGCACGGCCTTATTGTTGAAGGAATTGAGATAAGATAACTGACATTCTTGTTTTATAGTATGAGGATGCAGAATACTTTCTAGTCCGCGTGTATAACCTTTTAACATTTTGCTTCCCCTTTTCATTTTCAAATACATTTTACTCTATTTCTTAGTGTGTGGGTCAAGCAGGCTTGGAATGACTTACTGCATTGTTTAGTGTTATATTCAAGACTAATAGAATGTCTAAAGAGTGGAGGTGGAGTACAATGGTCCCGTTGTATAAGAACAAAGGTGATGTCCAGAGCTGTAACAACTATAGGGGCATCAAATTACTAAGTCATACCATGAAAGTTTGGGAGAGAGTGGTAGAAATGAGAGTGCGAAGGACGGTGTCTATTTCAGACAACCAGTTCGGGTTCATGCCGGGACGATCTACCACAGAAGCTATCTACCTTATTAGGAGGATGGTGGAACAATACAGATATAAGAAGAAGGATCTCCACATGGTGTTTATTGATCTGGAGAAAGCGTACGATAAGGTTCCTAGGAAGGTCTTATGGAGTTGCTTAGAGGATAAAGGCGTCCCGAGTAACTATATTAGGGTGATTAAAGACATGTATGATGGAGCTAAGACTCGGGTTAGGACAGTAGGAGGCGACTCTGAACACTTTCCAGTTATTACGGGATTGTACCAAGGGTCTGCGCTCAGCCCATTCCTATTTGCCCTGGTGATGGATGCACTGACTCATCATATTCAAGGGGAGGT